CCCCCCTTAGAAAGGTAAGTGCCGTGTTGAGAACCTGTCTATAAGTTTTCAGCGCCTCTAGTGACTGGGGGGGTAAGCTTTTGTAATTCTGGATTTATTGGCGAATGCAAAACGCAGTTAGGGTTCGTTCGGTATCTTATTCGTTCCGGTTGATCGTTTGCACCATTGTTTGATTCTAGCGATTCAACACCACCACTTTAAAGTTTCTACCATTTTTTGGCATAAAATAATTGTGCCAAAAAGAAGAAATACATAAAATCGGTAGTGTTGAAGCGCCTTCAAGGTAAAATTGACTAAAAATTAAGATGACAAATTTAGATATTTATTAAAGTTTGAAACAGAAAATATTAAAGAATATGGAATTAATTACAATTATTGCGAAACAGTTTTTTTTCATGTAAGTATACATACATAGGTAGGTACCTAATGCTAGTTAAGTTAAAGATAATAAGGACAGTTACAAGAAGTAATGACGTACATTTAACAATAGCTTGATGAAAAACTTAAATCGTAAATAAAATGACAAAAGAGGTCCTTTTCTCCCAATCCAAAATCGTTGTTAACCTAACAAGTGAGGAAAGTGTTTCTGCACGTGATGGAAGTTGCACGAATGACAACAAAAAGCAGAGTTCGGACAAGCCTTTAAGTCCAGAAAATACACTTTCCGCATGTGTTAGGTAGAAAGTTTATGTAGTTATACATAATATAAAGCTCATTCAAGAAAATGATTTCGCCTGGATGATAGAATAAATATTTTTGATAATAGTCTATACCCTTTACCACTAGCTTTAAGCAAAGACAACGCCAACAACTTCTCGTCCAATGTAAATCGTCTAGCTTTAGGCTTTTAGTTTTGAGTACGGACTTGGCTTAAAATAAAGCTGTATATCAATGGATTGACGTGGTCTACGAGCCTTTGAAATTTGGTTTATGATGCAAGTTATTCAGCAGCAGAAACTTTGGATTTAAATGACGACAACCTTCTACTGATTCTTCTTAACTTATTGCTGGATTCTATAACTTTGGAATAAAGATATTTTTCCCTTGGGGATAGGAATTTTTTGCCTAGTGACGTTAATGTTCTTTAAAATTTGGCATCTTCTCTCATGACCTGCAAAAAAAAAAATAGATCAAGATTGGAGACGAGCTTTTCGCACATTTAGCTTCTAATTTTTCTAGCATTCGACTGCAAGTTTTAGTAATTAGTAGTCTTTTATAGTAGTAGTCCTACTTGAGTTAGGATGTTTTAAAATTCACCTACTCCCAACTGGGTGGTTATTCATTAAGCAATAACACTTAGGTACCTACCAATAAAAGTTTTAAGAGACAAAGTTGGTTGGTGACTTTTTCATGTTTGCAGATGTGATGGTTCCACTTGGTGTAGCAATGTCTGCCCGAATTGCAGAAGTTTCAGTAGATAAAAATTGACGACATGAAGGGCCTGGTTGTACGTCTTTCTCACATATATCTAGTATTAACTTACCTTCAGGGAGATACAGCAAAAGCGCAGCATTCCATGTGAGTCCTCGTCTGGCTTTTGGATCGCCAACAATAAATTCTCGAGGAAAATGTCTTGTTCACACTCTATAATTATTATAAGCCTTCTCGACACTTAGGCTATTTAGTAAAGGATTGCGAACTTTTTCTAGCCATTGTTTCATTTTTTCGACATCTTTTGGAAACCGGAAATAGCTGCTGTATTTGTCGCCGCACCCCGGAACATAGCATTTCTGATGCACAAACTGGGAGAAGACATTTTGAGATAATAATTATTGATAATTGATAGGTAATTGATAATTCTAAATGTTGGGAGAAGTTCAAAATTTAAATTTTGACGACTGGAAATGACAAAATAAACTTCAAATCTTGGCGCACGGTCCGGCAGGAAAAAGAAAACTTTAATAGGTTGATTGAAGCGCCTCTAGTGATTGGAGGGGAAAGCTGAAACGATTAGACTGACGTCTCTCATAAGACTTACATTTCTAAGGGGGGATGTTTTGTGGATAAGATCAACAACGCCTTAACGACGGTAGTTTTCGCTCAGTATTTTTGCGGAAATAATAGATTTTCACTAGATTTCTCCCCGTTCTCCCCAAAGAAATGATTTCGGAAAGTGAAGATGAAGCGATGGATTGTACCCCACCTGAATTAAAAGAAGCAGCAGACAGGATTGGAGAGAGTTTGCTTCCAGCAAAAAGCAAATTTCGGTACGAAAAGGCTTTTCAAATATTCGAAGCATGGTGTAGCCAGAAAGGAACGAGAAATACTGCCTCGGAGACCGTTTTGTTGGCGTATTTTGGCGAATTATCTAAGGAAAAGAAGCCTTCGACTTTATGGTCGACTTACAGTATGTTGAAAACCATGATTAAATTGAAAGAGAAAGTTGATATCTCCAATTACGCAAAACTTATAGCTTTTTTGAAGCGGCAAAATCTGGGCTTTCAGCCGAAAAAGTCGAGCGTTTTTTCCAGAGAAAACATTAACGAGTTCCTCACGAAGGCAGCTGAAGAATTCATTAGCATCAAGGTAGGTTTTCAAAAAATATACAAAGAAGATAAAAATGCGAAAATCAAAATGATTTTCTGTATGCTATAGCTAGGTTACCCATTTTATTTTTATCTGGTTTCAGGTAGCGCTAATTGTTGGTGTGTCGGGTGCATGTAGGAGCGATGAACTAGTCAAGATGAAAATGGAGCACGTCAACGTTTTGGAAGGAAAGATCGCTATAGAAATTCCACACACAAAAACTTACACAAGTCGATCGTTTATCATAAGCGATCCAGATTGGGTTGCTATTTTCCACAAATACCTCACTTTGCGGAAAAATTTGAAAAATGACAGGTTATTTGTTCAATGGCGAAATGGGAAATTACATAACCAAGCAATTGGCTATCATTCAATCTCAAAATTTCCACATAAAATAGCTGCTTTTTTGAAGCTTCCAAAAATTGAAACTTTTACAGGGCATGCTTTTCGTCGTACTTCCGCAACCTTATTGGTTGACAACGGGGCCGATCTATTGCAACTCAAAAGACTGGGAGGGTGGAAATCGAGCACGGTTGCTGAAGGCTACATAGAGGCATCTTTGGAGAACAAAAGTAAGACTGCTCTGATGCTATCCTCTACTTCCAAAGGTATTCAGTTGTCCAGTGCATCCACAAGTACATCACATGCGGAAACTCATCCGCAAGCGCAAGAGATAATAGTTCCAAACGAAACACAATTCCAACAGGATGGTCTCAAGATTTCCATTATAAACAACAATGCTAATTTAACAATTAATGTAAATAAGTGAATAGATTTAATTAGTTCCATGTAATACATGTGGTTTTATTATTATATGTGAGAGCTGTATGAAAATTATCAATTTGGAACGAGCAGGGAAATGGGGACGGAAAAGCATTTGCCGTCCCGGACGGAAAATGCTTTTCCGTCCTAGGCAGGCATATGCATTACCGTCCCGATAAATGTCAAAGTCCAGAAATGTGACACTTTCAAGATTTTGAAAAACCTGCAATGTCAACATTACATATGTGGTTGAAAATAAAATACATTACTGAACACATCCGTTATATCCGTCCATAAAAAAACATGTGTAGTGCATAGTGTTGGAGTTCCCTTCGATACCCGCTACAGCATAAAAAAACTTATAATACCTATCTGACCATAATGATAATATCAATACGAGTATCAATAATACCACTTGATAGATCCAATGAATGCTTGGGAGCATCTCTGCAGATGTGGGAACAGTATTCCATACATGGTCTCAATGGTCTGATTTGAGGAGAAGAAGTTGTTCAGAAGTAAAGAAGCTTTTAGTACAAAACAGAAAACCTAATTTTTGAGAAGCGACCTTCGATCGAAGATACATGGTCATGTCAAGACAAGTTGGTCGATGCGTTCACCCCAAGAAAAGATATTAAAGGGGCTTATAGAAAGGTTTTGTCCTAACATACATACCTAAAACTAGGGTTATCATCGGCAAAAGATTCCGTATTTCAGATAACTGCTGCTTCAGTTTTGGAAGCATTTAATTTGACTAGGTTGTTAGAAGCCCTAGTTGATAATGGTGTCAACATCACTGTTGATGAAGTGAATCTCGTCTCGGGCAAGGCGTGGGGAAGGCTGCAGTAAGCGGTTTGTCAGAAGAGAAAGCTCTCATCAAACTAATATCGTCCGCAAAGCTGTATATGGGGTTTCTTGTCACATTTAGCAAATCATTAATAAAAATCAGAAACAGTGTTGAGAACCGAATTGAGCCTTGGGAACGCCGGCATCTATAGGCAGTGTATCAGAAGACACACCATCGACCACAAAATGCAGTGACCTGTCTTCCAAAAAGCTTCCCAGCCCATGGCAAAATTCGTTCGGAACACCATACGATGGTAGTTTTCTGAGACCTTTGTGCCACACTTGATTAAAAGCCTTGGATCCCTGTTGATCTTTTAGAAACTAAGACAACTAGCTTCCTCCCTACATTGTACACTTCGTAAATTCGCATTTTAGTCCTGCGAACGACCCAAAATTTATTACACGTAAAATGGCGAAGTACCATTTTATATGCCGACAAATTAATCTAAAACCAAAAATTCAATTTTCGGCCCAAAATTGGAAATAAAAATAAGCATTGACAAAGAAACTGACCCTCAAGTTATCAACTATAGGCTTGACATATTAAATTCATCAGAGCTACAAAAAAAAAACTACATTTACAACTTAAACATGGACTAATTTATTAAGGGCGAGGTAACAAACCCGAAATCAGCCACCCTTTGAAAACCCTTGACCAAACTTACAAGCGAATAAGACACAAAGGGCAAATACTCTTGTCCACTTAAACGTTGTTTAAGACTATTTGTTTCGGGACCTTGGGCTGATCGTAAACTCATTTGGGGGTCGGTTGTTGGGGAATGAGAAACCGGGGGTTAGTTGGTTAAGTTACGAGTATTGCTAATGTGCGGTCGAGATTTTTATTGGTGGACCGGGTCTTTTTAGAATTAGTTGCTTGGCGGTTTAACGTTATCGTGAAAGTCTTCGCGAAATTTTTCAATTTTCCAGCCTATTTTCTTTTTATAAAGTTTTAATTGATTCGGAGAGATCGTCGTCGTCGGAGATCGAGGTACGCCGTTGTAATTTTTCAAGGCAATTTTCTCGAAAAAAAATTGTAATATCAGAAGATAATAATAAGAAAAGTTAAGTAATTTCGTTATTGACATGGAGGTATGATCCCGTGGAGGCAAATTGTAGCCCTAGGCCCCCACCCCCCAGCCCAGTCTAACTTCGTTACGGAGACGACGAAGTTTTTCCAACGGAGGAATTATTTGTTTTTCTTTTTTAACTGGATCTTGATGGAAATTATTATTTGCCATCGAGTTTTGCTTTTGTGCTGTACCTACCTGGCGAATTAAAATAATTACTTTCTCAATTTCTACCAAATTTAATTCTAATTTAGCTTTTGATGCAATTTTTGATGATTGAGGAGAAAAAAAACAAACGGGAGATGATGTAATTCCAGTTTCACAACTTCGTCAATCGGTTGGCTGAATTGTGTTGTCTTTAGTAGAGATTTTACGAGAAAAACTTTATAATTGAAGATATTTCATGTTAATTTTTCCTGTTGAATAAACAAAACCAAATTGGCACCATACTCTAGCCACAGCTTACGCGACAACAAACAACACAGCTTTCTTTTCTTTATTAAAATATTCCCGAACACGTCCCCGACTTGTACATTAAACAAACAACCTACAGAAAAAAATTACTGCATTCGCCCCAGGTTTCTCCCCGTGCACTTTTCGTCACCTGCGTTCTATAGCCTAGATTTGTAAGCAAATTGACTTAATCTTTGGAAAATTTGCCGAGAATTTTCCTTTAAATAAGGAGCGAAATTTACCGGATTTTCTTCAGCTACATTTTCCTAGGAAATTTATTAGTCTGCACCTGACGAGCGGGCGTGACGGCTTTTACCTGCAATCAAAAGCGAGAAAAAAAAATCGGGACGGATTTTTATGTTTTGAAAGGCTGGGATTGCATAAAAATGGAAAATTTTGTAAAGCGAATTTACTTGAAGGCTTTTCGCGAGACTAAAGACGACGTTAATTACGATTTTTTTCTTTCAATTTGTCGCGAGGAAAATGGCAATTTTGCTAGGAATTTTTCATAATTAGGCTTCATAAGTATTAAAAGGTTTCTCCTCGAACAAAATAAAACTAATTTGTAAAACGCTAGTTTTATTTAAATCGCTTTTATTTCAAAAAATCACATAAAATATCGAAAATATCACCGGAAAACAAAATTTCACCCTTCGCTCTCGCACGTAGAGGTGGGTTGCGATTTCACGAACTGTGACTTTGTCACTGCTACTCGTCTGTCACAGTCACAGCCTGCTCCAGTCCCAGTCAAGTAGCAGTGACATTTTGTCACTGCCTGCTTCAAGCTCCGACCGATGCAGCGCGAACAAGAATCGAGCTAAGTGATGGAAACGAAATAATATAATATTATAATTCGCATCGCAGTCACGCTAAATAGGAACTGCTACTGCAGAGGACAGGCTGGAAACGGGAACATCTCTCTCGGCCGTGACTGGTGACTGTGATTATGCCATTTTGCGATGTCGCATTACCATAATATTAGCAGTACGGCCGCCAACCAAGGTGAAACTGCTCCAAAAAATCACTGCTGTTTGTCACAGTGACACGACTGGAGTAGTCACGTCTTATCACAGCTTCATTAAAATCGCAGATTGGCCCACCTCTACTCGCACGCCGCAACATCTGTGTCCTCCCGTCGTAGTCCGCCGTACCACCTCTCTCTCCTTTCCGCACTGCCATAGCGCTCGTGGCTTGCCAGTCTGGTTGCAAATTTATTCGCCCGTTACATTCGGCCATCCTGCAAAATTATTGTCCTCATTAATAATTCAACTCTTGAGTAAATCGATCAGATCCTGCCGATCTACATTTTCGCCATCACTCTCAGAGTTACTGCTTGCATCCCCACCAGGTGCAGTACTACTATATCGCCTCAAAGAATCAATCGCCACTAACGCCTTAAAAAAATTATACCCTCGCATACCTTTCACACCAGTTATCACATATCTATCATTCCCTATCACCTTGGAAACTCGATATGGACCATAGTACTTATTCATCATTTTTCTATTAACGCCTTTTTCGCTTGTCGCCATAATACTAAGTCACCCACCTTGTGAGTGTCGCCCGCGGCTACAGCCTTTCGCCTACGATCGTATAACGCTTTCATTTTACGCCCCGCCTTTGTCAGGTTTTCACTCGCTTTTTCACGCCTTTCATTGACAGCTGCTCGTATATCATCATAAGATTCGCCTTTAGCTGCTTGTGCATTTGCCACCTGCACCCTGCACATCACCAAACAGATCTGCATTCACGCCATCATTATGTGCAAAGAGCAACTGAACCGGGGAAAATTCAATGCTCTGATTCAGAGTATGATTAATTCCCCAAACAATGTCAGACAGCTCAGCGTCCCGCAATCAACTCTGACTCAGCACTCGCCTCTATTGCATTGAGCAATGTTCGATTCTGTCTATCCACCTGACCATTCGCCCTGGGTGTAGCAATTGCATTCAACACATGTTTTACAACTCGCATCGCCAGAAAATCAGCAAACGCATTGCTTGTGAACGCCAATCCGCGGTCGGAAATAATACGCCTTGGGTACCCAAATTCGCCAAACACGTCTCTCGATTTGAGAATAGCCTCTGAAGACCTCAATGTCTTTGTTGGCTTCGCCAGAGTATACTTGGTAAATGCGTCAACCACCATGAGCACATAGTGATTGCCCTTTCGACTTCGGCAGAATGGGCCTACATGATCTATGTGCACGGTATGAAAAGGTATCGCCACGTTTTCTATCGGATGCAACAGACCAGGCGCCTGCCCAAGACTACTTTTGCCAAAAGCATGTTTCATACACGCCTTTACATATTTCCTAACAAAACGCCCCATCTTCGGAAACCAATACGTTTGCTTAAGCAAGCCTAAACATCTGACAGCGCCTGGATGACCTATGTCATCATGATGCTTGCGTACCAACCCGAATCTCGCCATAGAAGGTACATACAAACGATCGCCAATTAATGTTTTTTTTAAATAAACGCCCATTCGCCAACTTGTACACATCTTTCACACCTTTGTCTGCTGTTCCCTCAGCTAAACCATTGATGAGCGTCTGCGCCTTTTCGTCTTGTAACTGCACTGTCAGAAACCAACCGCCTTTAGTCATGTTTACTAAGCAAACATTCACTGGATTTCTACTGAGTGCGTCAACATGTTGCATCTTATGGCCCATTCTATACTCCACAGACAGATCATACTCTTGTAACGCCATCCACCACCTAGCTATCCTAGACAGAAGATCCTTTTTCGCCATTGTCGCCCTGACAGCTGAACAATCTGTCATCACCTTGAAATGAACGCCTATCAAATACACTCGAAAACGTTTAACAGACTCTATTATCGCCAAAGTTTCGAGTTCATAACTATGCCACGCCTGCTCAGCCATCGTTGTCGCATTACTGTAGTAAAAGACTGCCATCCGCCTGTTTCTACAAAAGAATACCCGCCACGCCTAACCCTCTCGCATCTGTATGTAGCTCTGTCTCCGCCTCACTATCGTATAACGCCAATATTGGTCTCTCAACTAAAGCCGCCTTCAATTGATCAAACAAATGCACTCTGATCCTCTGCACCCCATCGCCATGAAACATGTTTCTTAAGTTCGTCAATGGCCTTGCAACTACAGCAAAATTCTTGACAAAAATTCTAAAATAACTTGCCAGACCAATAAACTGTCTAATTCCATGCACATCAACCGAAACAGGAAAACCTTTCACCGCCTGAACTTTCCTTTCGCCTTGACGAATGCCGCCTGCACTAACCTCATGCCCAAAATACTCCAACTTATCCTGCAGAAAAATGCACTTCCTCAGGTTCAATTTTAAATTCGCCTCGCCACCATTTGCAGGACCCTTTCTAACAACGCCAATCCATCAGAAATAGAAGATGAGAAGATCATCCATGTACGCCAACACAAGATCATTCTGCATGCCCTTCAGCATTCGATTTATCACCCTCTGAAAAACTGCCGGAGCATTCGCCGGTCCGAAAGGCACCCTCAAGTACTCGTAATGTCCATCAGGAGTTACAAACGCCGTTTTGGACACAGAATTCGTCGCCACAGATACTTGATGATACCCCTGCGCCAAATCCAAAGTAGTAGCACTTGCCCGCCAGTCGGTCCAATTGGTCCTCAATCCGAGGCAAAGGAGATCGATCCTTCACCGAATCGCATTCAACGCCCTGTAATCCACACACATACGAACATCTTCATTTTTCTTCGGTATCAGTACAATTGGACTTACAAACGCCGACTCACTTTCCTGGATAACGCCTGCATCCAATACATTTTGCACCTTCCTTCTTACTAACGCCCTCTCACTAAATGACAAACGATAAGGCCTATATAGACCACTGGCTTATCAGTTGTTACCTGAATTCTCATTTCGCCCAAATCAGTCACACCCAAATCATTCTCACCAGTCGAAACACACATCGCCATTCTGTTCAACAAATCATGCAACTTAAATTAGTTTCACCAATATCGCCTACTTGAATACATGAAAGGTCAAGCATACTATGGATAGCAAACATAGTTGAACTTACCTCGCCTAGTTTCTTTGGTTTCGCCACACTCATCTTCACGGCTCTCGCCACCACTTGTCCAGTCTTCCACTGTAGTGGCCTGTGTCCCAGATTGCGCACCTTCAATCCGTCAGAATCTCCGCTTTTCAGTACATGGTTACCTATCGCCACAACTGCACCATTTCGCTCGTATCGACTTACAGGTATATAGCCCGTTTCGCCTTGGTGCAGTCCCTCACTCTCCTCGCCTGGCGATACAGTGACATCCTCCTGCGCCTCGGTCTCATCTTCGCCCAGGGTGATGTTCTGAATGAAATCCTCCGCCTTCTCTTTCTCAGTGCTAGTCAGCTGCGCCTTGCCTTCATGCACTGTCAGCACTACGCCTTTTGTTGCTAACGCCGGTTGCCCTAAAAGAATATCAGCGCCAGTAAGTTGCAATCAGCGCCTTGACCACCAATGAAACCTTGTCCATAGTGAGAGGCGAGAGCTTTCAGCGCTATGCTAGATGGGTTAATCTGGTAATCGCCAAGAGTTTCAAAACATTCTCGCCGAATAATGTTTTGCTCACTACCAGTATCAATATACGCCTTGATTGAACGCCTATCTTGCATAATCGTCTTTTTTTTATTATATATATATAAGTGTTATCCACCACATCTATAAGTCTTACCTGATAGTGACTTCGCCCATGTACCGCCTTGTTACCATGTTGTTCATTGCCAATTCCACTTCGCCTGGGACAGCTGAACCGATCATGCCCTGTTTTGCCACACCGTATACACTTCTCGGCCTTGGGCTTGGGACAATCCGGGTCTATGTTCATATTTCGAAAACAGACATTTCGAATCATTTATTTCGAATGCTTATATTTCGAAAACTTTTATTTCGAATTACCTTTTTTTCGAAATTCAATCATTTCGAAAACATGCATTTCGAAAACCTTCATTTTGAATTACCTTTTCTTCGAAATTCAATCATTTCGAAAACATTCATTTCGAAAATTTTTATTTCGAATTACTTTCTTTTCGAAATTCAATCATTTCGAGAAAATTTATTTCGAAAACCCTTTTTTCGAATTACTTTTTTTTCGAAATTCAATAATTTCGAAAACATTTATTTCGAAAACAATAATTTCGATCTTCAATGATTTCGAAAACAATAATTTCGATATTCAATAATTTCGAAAACATTTATTTCGAAAATCAATAATATTATCATAATATGAGCTCTGTGCAGTGCGCTCCAGCAGACAATATTAAACTTACCGATAATAACCGGGTTAGTTTGGGTTAGTTTGCAATTTTATTTTTAATCAGAAATTACCAAACTTACCGATAATAACCTGGTTAGTTTGGGTTATTCTGCAATTTAATGTCTGATTATAATTGCAAACTAACCCAAACTAACCAGGTCATTATTGGTAAGTTTAGTAATTTCTGATTAAAATTGCAAACTAACAACTAACCCAAACAAAATTATTGTTTTTGAAATTATTAAATTTCGAAAGGAGAGTCATTCGAGATGAATGTATTCGCAATAAATGTTTTCGAAATATATGTTTTCGAAATGATTGAATTTCGAAAATAAAGTAATTCGAAATAAAAGTTTTCGAAATAAATGTTTTCGAAATGATTGAATTTCGAAGAAAAAGTAATTCGAAATAAAAGTTTTCAAAATAAATGTTTTCGAAATGATTGAATTTCGAAAAAAAAGTAATTCGCAATTAAAGTTTTCGAAATGATTGATTTTCGAAATAAAAGCACTCGAAATAAAAGATTCGAAATGTCTGTTTTCGAAATATGAACATAGACCCGGACAAGGGTTCCTTGCTCATGTGATTGCCAACCTTCTGGCACTTATAGCATCGGATCCCCGCTTTCGCCGTTGATGCCTCCCTCTCTGGTCGCCTCGTCACTTTGGAAGGTACCTGCCACGTCACTTGCTTCTTCAGGTCGCCATTGCTGCCACTGGTTGAGGTTTGTTGATACTTGTCAAAAGAAGAAAGGACACCAGTATACAGTTCGCCAGTAGTAGAGCACTGAAATGCCCTGGCATTCGCCTGTAGATCGAGAGGCAGTCTCCTAATCAGACACGATAACGCCTTTGTGCCGAGCAGTACACACCTCTCTATCAACGCCATTTTATCATGGTAATAGGTTTAACAGGTTGACTGTTGAACCAGGCTCTTTCAGCGCCTTGCAACTTAGCCTGCATGAATTAAGCCCGTTCATACTCTGTCCAGCCATGAATTTCGCCAAACTGATCAATTTTGTTCAACCAACGAACCGTATTACAGCTCCGGCTCTCTGGATCAAAAGGCTCGATGATCTTTCCATCCGCCCTTGCCCCCAAACAGCCCGAACTGCATGTCAAGTTCGATCTGACACGGTTCGCCTCGGAGCCAGATCCTGACGCCTGTGAAACCGCCTTAGTTGATCTCTCTTGCCTATCTGTCTCACGAGCCTGCCGCGACACCTTGGCAGCCTCCTTAGCCACTATTTGCTGGATGCTTTTCGCTAAGCCGCCTTTCAACATGGTTTCCAACACATGTGCTGGATCTGGAGTTCCAGTTTCCGCCATTTCCTCCTCAGGTTCGTGATCCAACTCTGAGTGGTCGCCATCATTTGAGTTTTCGACCTGTTTTTCCGCTCAGGACGTCCACAGCTAGCAAGGACTCCTCTAAACTTCAGCTCATAATCAATTTCGGACACAAGTAAATGCCTGACTAATGGAATCTGCCATGTTTGAAAGATAAATTTGAGTTGAAATATAAAATTTTAAATACACGGTTCAGGGAAGGATATTATTCAAATAGTTAATTGAGTAGTTAATCAATTTGGACTTGTTTACGTAATTTTGGTATAGGTACCTAAATTCGAGTGTTGAGTTATACGAAAAGAAAAGATAAAATTTTACCAAACTGTATAATATCTAACTATGTTAATAATCGGCCCCACGTTGGGCGCCAATTTATGTAACCCCTTTTTGTTAATGAATTAACTATGGGTTCATAATATGCTCAGTTTAGCTTCTCCAACAACAACTCAAATAAAAATGGCGCCCTGTTGTTGTTGACAGATCCTAAACAAAGGATGGGATTTTTTTTTAAATAATTACGCCGTTCGCCACCACACCAAAAGACAATTATTTTCACCAATCAATGCTTACGTCAACAAAAAGGTACATAAATAAGAAAACAATACAGAAATAACGCCTTACTTCTTTTTCGGATTTTTCCACACAACACAAACACACGCCACACCCAAAAATCCACCCGCCAAAACACATCGCCTCGGGTCTTGGAATCCGCCTTTTCCACGCACAAATCGCCACTCAAAACACTTCAGGTTTATCCCGCTTCTATTCTTTAAAGCGCTAGTTTTATTTAAATCGCTTTTATTTCAAAAAAATCACATAAAATATCGAAAATATCACTGGAAAACAAATGCCACCCTTATCCTCGCGTCGTAGTCCGCCGTACCACCTCTCTCTCCTTTCCGCACTGCCATAGCGCTCGTGGCTTGCCCGCAGGTTGCCTATACCTTGTATACGCCTTTCAAGGTATTCATCTGGTTTTCAAATTTATTCGCCCGTTACAAATTATTATTTCCATGAAAGGAATTACAAATAATAATTGTTTCATTCTCTAACAAAATTATTATTATTTTTCTTTCAACAGTATTTTCAAACCGACCGCCATAATATTTCCATGTCATATTGAAAATAATCCCTAAGATGAAATATTTAAACCGAATTCTTGTTTACTTCCATTTAAAAAATCCTTAATGAATTATAGCTGATATTTGAGGGGATTCTTTAGCTGGGGGTGAGTTTTTTCCTTGTTGTTTTTTAGACAATATAGAATCTTCCCCAGGGTCAAAGATTTTTAATTCGCAAAAAAAGATAATGGATCCGGAAAATCACAAAAGTCACGAACGTGAAAAATCCATGTCATTACGCGTTAACTTACGTATTAATCACGGACAGGTTCATGCACGTAAAAAGGCTTTTTTGCGAATGAATTAAATAATGGACCGCGGCGACCATGTGATACCAAGTGTATCAGGAAAATTAAAAAAAAAAAGTAATGGATTTGGGGTTGGCGATTATTTATGCAGATAACCCTCGAAATTTTCTGCAAAACGGTATATGGGAAAAGAAGAAAGTTATTAAATTTACACTTTTTTATATTCAACAATTCTACCCTGGGATGGTATTTTTTATTGAAAATATATTCCGAAATATACGCAACAACGGATTCCTTCGCGTCGCTCAAAAGGTAAGTTATGTGTCTATATGCAGATGTTTTCCCAAGTCTCCTCCGGGAAGAATTCCTTAAGTTTGTCACATATCGTCCCCCATTTTCGTACGCTTCGGGTGCACTTATTTGTTATTTATCGTTGGATAATGTCGATTTTTCCGCGCTTCCGAATAGTCTTGAAACGTCGCGGGAACACTAAAATTCTACGTTATGTTTTTTTAATACAATTCATAAGGTCGTATTTTATTCAATTTTATTTTTTGTGTGTGTGTTTCTTTTGCTTCATTCGCGAGAAAATCGGAAATATTCAACTTTTATGTTATGATTCACATTTTGCTTTACAAAATTCATGTCGGTATCTACCTGAAAGGCTACATAATTTGCTTAAGTATGAGACACATTTTTCCACACACATTAGACTGCACGTACAAGATTCCTCACTATCAAATTTACTTCATCTCAAATATATCTTCTTTTTTGCCTAATGCCACAAACATATCAAACAGGGAGCAAAACAAATAAAACAAAACTGATTATATTCCGTCCAAACTATCACCGTATTTTTCTGTTATCCCCCGGGAGTCCTGGTCATTTTTCCGCATTCCTTCGGGAACGCCCGATATAGCTTATTGCCAGTGTTTCTAGTTTTCTTCTTGGCTGATTCCGGAATGGCTTTCGGGCATGCCGTAGGCGACTTATTGAGTCCATATGTTTAGTTAATTTAGAGTCATATGTCACGTGAATGGAATGTTTTGTATATTAGGCTTTTATTTGAAAGAAAATTTATTAGCTTAATATGCAACCCTCGATTGCTTAAATTCAAAATACAGGACTTATTCCCTTTTGAATTACAAAAGATCCCTTTTAAAAAACAAAAAAAAAAAAATTCTCTTTTGTCTCGGAGGCCACTTGGATGTTAATTAACTCTATAAATTCCGCGGCCGCCCGCGTTTCCGATTTTCGATCGGTTTAGGGGGCGGCAAAAACAAAAGATTAACGCCAACGGAACAAAAGACGGCGGCGCTCTACGAAAGGCGAAATACAATTGAAAGAATCGCAACAATGGCCGATTTGCATGCGGACAATTGAGGATCGGAATTCATTAAAGATTTTTATATCTTCATTTCCGGGATTCGGGTGTTTTCGGTTATTGTTTCGGGTCGCAAGGGTGGATGAAAATTCCTACGTTTTTATTGTTTCGGATTAACCCCCCCTTAATCTCTGAGAGCGGATAACGCCCGACATGTGTGTGCATTGTTTGAAATTGTAGTGAAGAAGTTATTAGTGTACAATTTCTATTTCAACTTACTTAATGAACGAACGATGTTTATTTATTCAGCGGAAACCCAAATTTCAAAAAAAGAAACTAATAAAAATCTTATGCATCGTTAACTCAGGAAAAACTAAATGCCAAGGTCAAGTCTTGTTCATCTTCTTCTTTACATGTATTTATCCATTTCTGTAGACTTCTTCCAATATCTCTCAGATTTCTCTGTTTAGACCTT